AATCAGTTGTGAAAGCCTCGATCTTGCAAAGAAGGATTCTGGAACAGACAAGGACGACGGAGACGGTGGAAATAGCAGACGGAGTAAGCGTCTGAAGAAAGGTGAGTCCTTCCCCTCATTGCCCACAAGTACCGGCCAGCACCATCGTTCCATGTTGGTGGCTGTGTTGCTAGCTGTACTTGACCATCACGGCGGGCTCCGCATGCAGCGATGAACCACATGCATGGAATTTACAAGGATTCCATTGGCTTCAAAGACTCTTTTCCCCAATTGAGCGAGGCAACCTTTAGATTCTGCTACCAGCCGTACGATGATTGGCTGTTATCCACATGCTAATACATTGACTTGCAGATACTGTGCCTACCGTGGCAGGATCTCACATGTCTCTGTTCCGTCCTTCCGTGCCCAGAATTCCCCGAGATGAGGCCTTGGCTCCTGGCGAGGTAAGCTACGAGGCATCATTGCGTTCTCTTTTCCAATACACTGACTTGAAGCAGAAATGTGAGCAGTGTGGCAAGGCGGAAGAAGCCGGTGCCCTAATCGTCTGCGAGTCCTGTGACCACGCATACCATGGGACCTGTCTCGATCCTCCCCCTAAGCACAAGCCCGACTCCGAATGGAACTGCCCGAGATGTCTGGTCGGTGACGGACAGTACGGATTCGAGGAGGGCGGCTTGTATTCCTTGAAACAATTCCAGCAGAAGGCGGCCGATTTCAAGCAGGGCTATTTTGAGAAGAAGATGCCCTTCGACCCCGTTCTCAACTGCCATCGCCCAGTCACGGAGGAAGACGTCGAGACTGAGTTCTGGCGTCTCGTTGCCGACATTGAGGAGACTGTGGAGGTCGAGTATGGTGCCGACATTCATTGCACAACTCACGGCTCCGGCTTTCCAACCGTCGAGAGACATCCCAACAATCCTTATTCGACCGACCCCTGGAATCTCAACCTGCTCCCTCTCCACCCTGAAAGTCTGTTCAGGCACATCAAGTCAGACATCTCTGGCATGACCGTGCCGTGGGTGTACGTCGGCATGATCTTCTCGACTTTCTGCTGGCACAACGAAGACCACTATGCCTACTCTGCCAACTACCAGCACTTTGGCGCAACCAAGACTTGGTATGGTATTCCGGGTGAGGACGCCGAGAAGTTCGAGGCCGCGATGCGTGAAGCCGTTCCTGAGCTCTTCGAGACTCAGCCTGACCTTTTGTTCCAACTGGTCACCCTTTTGACCCCGGAGCAGCTGAAAAAGGCTGGCGTCAGGGTTTATGCACTCGATCAGCGCGCGGGTCAGTTTGTTATCACCTTCCCCCAGGCTTACCACGCCGGCTTCAACCATGGTTTCAACTTTAACGAGGCTGTCAACTTTGCCCCTTGTGACTGGGAACCCTTCGGGCTGGGCGGTGTGGAGAGACTGCAAGTATTCAGGAGACAGCCATGTTTCTCGCACGACGAGTTGTTGTGGACCGCCGCCGAAGGTACGACAAACAGCGGCTTGACGATCCAGACGGCAAAATGGCTTGCGCCCGCTCTCGAACGCATCAAGAAACGAGAGTTCGCGCACCGGACCGAGTTCGTGGCAAAGCACCTCGAGCCACAGCTGCACGATTGTGCGTTGGCTGGCAAAGAAGACACCTCCTGCCCTCTGAAATTTGAAATTGACGATACGGACGTGCCCGAAGAGGAGTATCAATGCTCGTATTGCAAAGCCTTTACGTACCTCTCTAGATTCAAGTGCCTCAAGTCCGGCAAAATTCTTTGCCTGGCACACGCGGGTTATCAGCCATGCTGCGAGTCAACCGAGCACCAGCGCTTCCACGGCGAAGGACATGCTGTCATCTACAGACAGTCCGAGGAGGACATTGAAGCAACATACGGCAAGGTTCTCGAAAAGGCGCGTACGCCAGAGGCCTGGGAAGAGAAGTACGACAAGCTTCTGGAAGAAGAGGCCACGCCTTCTCTTAAGACTCTTCGGAATCTCCTACACGAGGGTGAGAAAATACCCCATGACCTACCCTCGCTCCCTTTGCTTCGGGAATTTGTCGATCGGTGCAACGAGTGGGTGGAGGAGGCCACCAACTACACGATCCGGAAGCAGCAAAACAGGCGCAAGAGCGAAAAGTCCATTCACAACCGAAAGAACTCGCTGGACCAAAAGGAACGCGATGCGCGCAATGTTTCCAACGTGTACCGTCTTATCAATGAGGCGGAGCAAATAGGATTTGACTGCCCTGAGATCACCCAGCTGAGGGAGCGGGTCGAGGCCATCGAGGCCTTCCGAAAGAATGCCGCTAAAGCGCTGGAACAGATCCACCTCGCCGAGCTCTCCGAAATCGAAGACCTACTTGAGGAGGGCCGGACTTTCAATGTCGACACGCCAGAAGTCGACCGACTCTCGCGAGTCCTTGAACAACTCAAGTGGGGCGAGAAGGCTCGTAACAACCGAAACAGCCTCATGTCACTCAACGAGGTGCGCGAGCTCATCGACGAAGGAAAGAGATTGGACATTGCTCCATACAACGATCATCTCGTCTACTACATTGAACAGATGACTGCTGGTCAACAATGGGAGAAGAAGGCTAGAGAGTTGATTATCGCAGAGGTCATCCATTACCCACAGCTGGAGGCCTTATCGGTGCAGGTCCAGGCCAATTTCCTACCGGTCACTGCGGAAACCCTGAATGCTGTCGACCAGATTCTTTACAAGCAGAGGGAGGCACACCGTCAGATCATGGACTTGACTGAAAGATCACGAGACCGGGACATCCGCAATCGACCCAAGTACGCAGAGGTGGCTGAGATCATGCGCCGACTCGACGAGCTGAATTCGAAACCCAATGGGACTTTGGACCTCGAGCGGGAGCAGAAACGTCACGAGGACTGGATGCGAGAGGGTAAGAAGCTGTTTGGCAAAACCAACGCACCGCTCCATATTCTCAAGAGCCACATGGACTACGTGTTGGAACGCAATCAAGACTGCTTTGACATTGTCAATGACAAGCCTCGCATGCCTGCTGAACCTGCATCGAGGGAAGCCAGTCCCGACCAAAAGGTGCACCGTTGGGAGGACCCTCGGTTCCGCGAGGTATTTTGCATTTGCCGAAAGGTGGAGGCTGGCATGATGATTGAGTGCGAGCTCTGTCATGAATGGTATGTTTTGATGTGGCCTTCTAAGATCTACTCAATTAGCTAACGTCTCTAGGTACCACGGCAAATGTCTGAAGATTGCTCGCGGCAAGGTCAAGGACGAAGACAAGTACACGTGCCCCATTTGCGATTGGCGGGTTAAGATTCCGCGAGATGCGGCGCGACCCAAGATCGAAGAGCTCATTGCTTGGTCTGATAAGATTCCCAGCCTCCCATTCCAGCCCGAGGAGGAGGAGGTCCTTACCAAGATCATCGACAATGCTCAGGACTTCAGAAACCACATCACCGGCTACTGCAATCCTGTGGTCTCCACTGAGTCTGAGGCGGACACCCAGCGCTTTTACTTGCGGAAGATTGAAGGTGCTGAAATCTTGCTTGCCTACGAGACCAACTTCTTCAGGCAAGAGTTGCACAAGTGGTGCCCTGTTGCACCAAACGCACCACCGGTTCTTGAGGTCTCCAAGAGTACTCGGAAGCCGCGACCGACCAAGCTTCAAAAGCTTTTGGCGCAGTTTGGGGTGGACGATGCAGAGGACCTCCCGGAGAACATGAAGGCCAAGGCTGCCAGCTTGAAGCGGAAGGCTCAGAATGCCGAAGCCGCCGCTGCCGCCGCTGCAGCAGCGGCTGCCACTTCTGCGTCTGGCGCAACTGTGCTGCCACCTGGCCTTCAACATGGCCACAGTCGGAAGTCGGAACAATCGTCTGCAACGCCTCCTTCTACCTCCCACGGCAATGTGGGCCGTCAATCCATTGGAAGCAATCATGATCCCATGGACATTGACAGTGCTCCGACACTTCACCCAGGCCTCTTCATGTCTAATGGTGCACCGGGCCCCCAGCTTGTCGGCGGCAACTCTTCGATGTCTCTTGAAGAACGCCTCCTCCAGGGTCAAGAAGATGGGCTTAACCTGCACACCGAGGCTGGAAGGAACCACGCCCTTGACATACTGCGTCGGACAGAAGTTGGCCGTAAGAGGGCAGTAGAGATGTTCGGTCCCGACGTGTTCAAAGGGGACGTTGGCATGCTCAACGGCAGGGATGTTGCGCCCCATTCACAAGAAGATGAGCGAGTTGTGAACAAGATGTTTGATGACCTTACAAACCAAGATGATGACGAAGTCAAGAGGAAGCAGGAGACCTTTGATGGCCCCATCACAGCGGAGAGCCTTGAAAGTGAGCGAAACGGCATGGATGCATTGCTCGACGGCGACTAGGACTTCTGGCCTGCTCCACCCTGCTTCAGCTTCTGAACTCTTCATTGGCGACAAAGGCCATTGAAACCAAAGGCTTGGAGTTTTATTTCTTATGTCTTGGCGTTTGTGGACAAGCTCTTGGAGCCCCTGTGAAGGAGGGGAAAGTATCGAATGGGTGGACTGTATAATCAGGTGTCCGGAGATCAAGGCATACCACTTTGCATTAGATGGAAATGGGCGTTTGCGAGTGTGCCAGATGCATCACTCAGTTTCAGTTATCGTTCGTAATGGTGTATCGCATTGTCAAAGAAAAGTTAGTGACGAATGGAAAAAGTACTAGTAGTTTGTTTCTTTTGGACTCCAATGATACAATCAATGTGCGCCGTATGAGTTTATTTGTCAAGTATCTGAGTTTTCCAGTTGCCCAGGCCTGACGATGCATGGTGTGTGTTTTCTGGTCAGCCCGAGAAAAAGACTCCTTAACACTCTAAGCTATAGGAAATCCGCAATCACGAGGCAACTTGACGTGATCCAATTGAGTTTGGCAGAGGGTCCCTTTGTGGTTTGGCAAAAACGCTTCAAATTTTGACATAATTATATAACCTTCCCTAGATCCCATTCATGATATTTCATACGACACGTTTTCTTCCAGAGGGCTTTCCTTACAAGCCAAGAGCCTTGGCAATGGCCTTGCCGACGCCGTGAGCGGAGGCCGGGTTCTGGCCAGTAATGACGATGCCGTCCACGACTACCTTTTCGCCCCAGGGTTCGGCGGCGAGCTCGTACTTGCCGCCGTTCTCCTTGAGGCGGTCCTCGAGCATGAAGTTCATCTCGGGGGTGAAGCCGGCCTGGTCCTCCTCGGTGTTGGAGAAGCCGGTGACGGTCTTGCCGGCGACGAGGTAGGTGCCGTCGTTGAGCTTGGCGTTGACGATGGCGGCGGGGCCGTGGCAGACTGAGGCGACGGGCTTGTTTTGGGCAGCGAACTCGGCGATGAGGGCGTGAGAGGTTGCGTCGAAGGCGAGGTCGTACATGGGGCCGTGGCCACCGGGGTAGAACTGGTTGTGGTGTTAGCTGTTGGTTCCCAGGTAAAATTGTATCGAGGGGGAAACATACAATAGCGTCAAACTCGGAAGCGCGGCCGACAAAGTTGGAGAGCTTCTCGGTGTTTTCCCAGATGGCCTTGTGGTTCTCGAGGAAGTTCTTGGAGGAGGGGTCGCTGGCGAACATCTCGACAGAGGCCTGGTCGAGGGGCGCGACACCGCCCTTGGGAGAGGCGAATGTCATCTCGACGCCGGCCTCCTTGAGAACATCGAAGGGGTGGGCGAGCTCGGGCTGGATAGACAGTTAGCTCACCGGAACTTGACGTGGGAAGACCAGCGGTTGATGGGAACGTACCAAGTACCAGCCGATGGGCTTGCCAGACTTCTCAGTCTTGTCGACGGAGGTGAGAACGATGAGAACCTTGGGAGCCATTGTGTATGATGTTGTGTGTGTGTGTATGAAAGGGTAGATAGAGAGTTGATGAAAGAGTTATTTGATTTGGTTTGAGAGGGTATCTTGGGTATCAAAGTTGAGTGTACTGAGTTTCTGTTCCAAGCACTCTATTCGCGCGGGGCATCTAGCTCTTTTGTAGTTTCGTCGCATCCCCATCATACACATGGGTAGCTCCATCGACGGTCTGGCCATCATGGTAATCATCTTCAGGCCATGACCCCACAATTGGGAAACAAGCAGCTTGTCCGAGATGCCATTGAGCTTATCCCCCTAGCACGAAGCGGAATGTGCTGGCTAAGGTGCGGAAAGGGGGGAGGGAGTGCATGAAGAGCTTCACCCCGCCAATTGGTCAGGTTGACGTCACGGCAGTGATGGATTTCTCTGAGTTCTGCCCCTGGCATATGCTTCGCCCTCTTCAAAGCAGAATGATGACTGAGTGACATGTGTCGGGGTTGAAATTCGGGCCTGACAGCGTGTACCTTTGGCTCTTGGTATGACTCGCTCATGTCTGTAAGCTGGCAGTGAAAGAGAGAGACTATAACCCCGCGCCAACAAATTCTTCACAGCGGTCCCACGGAAAGAACTCCACAGCTTCTTTTTCGAAGAAGTGCGGCGTACGCCCGCGGTATGTCTGTCAATCAGAGTGTTTACGCCGGGGTGACAAAGCAATGCGGGCGAATAAACTCTCCGGCTGCTTCCATGCCTTGCCAGAAGGGGCATCCGAGCATTCTGGAGGGGGGTCAAGGGTCTGGGGTTAGCATGTTGCAAATACGACGAGCCGAGTGGATGAATCGGTCAGAGCGAGTGGAGTTTGAACAAGTTTGACGAAGAAGATCGTCTCTTTTGATCAAGTTGGCCCTCGTTACATGGTGGAAATTGGAATTGGCAAGTTGATCGAAGACATGGCTTACTAAGAGTCTAATAAAAAAAGTCTTAATGCCGATGGGCCGAGTCGCTGTAACGCCGATGAATGTATCTCGTACCGCTGCGTGGAGAGGAGGCAAGAGCCAAGATGCGCCCCTCCCCACCGGCGTTGATGCCCTTTCCGGCACAGATTCGCCGGACCATCGGCCAACTTGGCATGAACATCACGGAACCCAACGACACAGTGACACGAGTGATAGCACCGCCCTTTTCCTTGTCGGTTTTCCCAGTGTTTCCACGGCGGTATGGGACCATCGGAAGTGGATCACCTACTCGACGGCCTCGGCTCGAATCCACAAGGCCAGACGGCATGACGGATAGCACTTCGGGGGTGCCGCGGTATGCGTGTATCGCGCGCACACTTCTTCACATACCTGAGGATACCAAGACTCTAACCAATACTTCAAAGGTGTGGTAAAGGTCGTGTTTGCAGCTAGGTTTTTGGTTGGCTTGGGTTCACACATCACTATCAAACGCTCATTCTTCAGCCAAGGTAGCTCTTACATGAGACGAACGGAACATGAATCGTGTTTGCATAATAGGCTGAGCAACTGCCCCAACGTCTTGGACGACAGCTGTCGCGGCAAGTTATTAACAGCAACTCTTTTTCATCTTCGACTCCGCAACATGGCGGAGTTTCAATGCGATGCGAGAACGAGATGAGCTTCAACACGATATGATGCATGTCCCCCATACGGATACTCTAATTCGCGACGGATTTGAGGACATTTCTTCTTCCGCCTCCTCAGAGACCTGAAGACTACCCTGAAAACGACACTGTCTCTTCAGACGGCCGACCGTCCCGGTTCCTGGGGTTTCTGCCCCCAAACCGACATACTACATCCATCATCGTCAGCGCGAGTAGCAGATAACCATCAAACGCGAAGGAAGGACTCACGTCGTGATATACGCGTGGATATTCTTATCCGCCATATCCTTCCTCACATCCATCAGCAACATCTCGGCGTCCTCTCGAGTCCAGCCCAGCACCTGGCAAAAGATCTTCATCGTGATACCCTGCACCCCCTCAAGGTTATTCGTCATCTGCATGGCGCCCAAAATCTTTTGGTTCCTCCCCTTCGCCCAAGGCGACGCCGGTACCGCGAACCTCTTCTGCTCAACGTTATGGAACCCCGCGTCCGTCATGTGCCGCGCGTACTCAAAGGCAGAGAGCGCGTCCCGCCCGGCCTTGCGGATCCCCTCGAGGAGGTGATCGTTCCACCGCCGCAGCGCCGTGCCCTCGAGCGACCCGTCCACGGCCTTGAAGTCGATGACGGTCTCTTGGAACTCGACCCAGCCGCCCGGGTTGAGGTTCTCGTAGATCTGCCCAAAGAGTTTAGGAAGGTCAAAGATGGAGGTGCACATATACCGGCCGTGGACGTAGTCGAATTTCTGGCTAAACGCCCACTCGTCCTCGGCGTCATCGATTTCGAAATGGCAGTTTGCCGGCACGTATTCCGGCTGGATGGGGCTCAGGTCCGTGCCGAGGACCTCCGATGCCGGGTACCTGTCGGCGAACTCGATGGCCCAGATGCCGGTGCCTGTGCCGATGTCGAGGACGCGGTGGGGGTTGGAGACGGGGGCGAGGCCGAGCTTGTCGTTGAAGATGCGCAGGGCGATGGCGTGTTGGAGGTCTAGGCGGCTTTGCTCTTGCTCGGGGGTGTGTTAGTTTCACTCACGGGCTTGGCAGTATCGCATGTAAGGGGACTTCGCAAACCTCATCGTTGGGGAGGAAGTATTCTGCGGGCGAGGTGTCAGTCAACAGGCTTCCAAAAGGTAAGTTTCTGCATGCGGTCGCGCAGACTTACTTCCTTCTTTATATGCGTGATACGTCCTGCCAAACTCTTCCACGAAGCGATACACGCTCGATGCTACCGAGGCGGACGAAGAGGCGCGGCCAGGATCAATTCCCATGGCCGAGTCGGCGTCGCTGATGTCTGTGTCGATGCTTAGCGACACAGAAGTGCTGCTGTCAATGTGCGACGCATTGAGCTCGTCGAGCGCGCTCGACGTCAGTCTGCTGGATCGATCATCGTCAACCGTCGATTGCATCGTTCGGAGGCTGCCTTGCTCTTCGTTGGGTTCGTTGGATCCCTCTGCCGGCGGCTCATGCCTCTCATCTGTTCCGCTTGAAACTTCCATTGTCACTTATATCAATGACTACAGATGTTGCAAGTCGCGACACTTCTGAAGGCGAGGCTGAGCTAAACAACAATGTCGCAAGCGCAGAGCGAGCCTGACCCCCATACCCAAAAGCTGACCTTTTCCGGTGTCTATTCGACCATGGCGTCAGATTCCCTTATCTGGCAGTGTCTGTCTGGTTTCCTCCAATTCCAGCCGAGGGGTTCTGCTGGTACCGAATCCGCTAAGAGGTCAAACCCCCGCGAGACTCATCTTAGCGGCGAGCGAGCCCGGCGAATCAACATCCGAGACATCAAGTCACCATTGTCTAGATGATGACGCTAGACTCGATAGTCACTCTTGCAGGTTGGGGAATTCCTGCTGAGCTGCTGCTTCTGTTCAGGCGCATGACGTGCATTTTGCCGATGCCGATGCGGGACAAATGTGAGGATCTGCCTGCATGAAGGGCTTTGTGATTTTCTTGTGTTACCAGTTGTCGGAACTTGCTGCACTTACATGGAATTTCTTGGAACTTTGATAGGTATGGGGAAAGTGAATCCCATGTAAAGACCATCCCTACTTGCATACTGCCCACGCGTATGAATCTTGAAGAGAACAGGACAAAGGCAATTAGCTGACTCGATTGACAAAACTTATCCCCAAATGCGGCACCACAGTAATTGCAACACCTAGAAAGGCATGGGCAACTTCGGAACGTACACCTCCTCGAGATAGTCGACCTCCTCCTCAGACAGCTTAACCTTTGAAGCGCCCACGGCCTGATCAATCCTCTCCCTGGTCTCCAAACCGCAAATGGGCATGCACCCCTTTGAAATAAGCCACGCCTGGGCAACCTGCGCCATACTCACGCCCTTCTTCCCCGCCAGCTCCTCGACGCGCCCAACAATGGCCCTGTCGGCGCCGTTCTCCGCGCCGCGGAACAGCATCTGCAAAAAGGGGTCCTTTTGCTCGCGCGGGTCCGAACGGTCGGTCCACGCGTGCGTGAGGACGCCGGCGGCGAGGGGTGACCAGGGGAAGAGGCCGACGCCGGTGGCGTTGCAGTAGGCGTTCATCTCGCGCTCTTCTTCGCGGTAGAGGAGGTTGTAGAGGCCTTGCATTGAAATGAATTGGTGCCAGCCGTTGCGGGCTGCTACGTTTTGGAGCATTTGGAATTCCCAGGCGGCCATCTGCTGATTGTTAGTAACTGGAGGGGAACAGTGAGAGAAGCGTCCTTGTCGAAGACTCACTGAGCTGGCGCCAATGTAGCGGACCTTGCCACTCTCAATAACATCGTGAAGGGCCTTCATAATCTCCTCGGGGGGCACGTCGCGATCCATCCTGTGGATCTGGAGCACGTCAATGTAGGTGCCGAGACGCTCAACACTACGTTCCACGGCCTCGAAGATGTGCTTTCTGGATAGGCCGACCTGGTTCACGCGGGGCCCCTCGTTGCTGGTCAAGTTGGCCGGGTCGATGGGTCCCTTGTTCTCGTCGACGAACTGGAAGCATTTGGACATGACGACGAGCTTGGAGCGCGGGATGTTGTACTCCTTGATGGCGGCGCCAACGATTTCCTCGGAGCGGCCATTGGAGTACGTGTCGGCCACGTCCCAGGTGTTGATACCGCGGTCAAAGGAGTATTTGAGAATGGGGAGGGCCTCGTCCTTGTCGAGAAGCCAGGGCTGCCAGTTCTTGTCGCCGAAGCTCATGCAGCCGAGGATGATTTGGGAGACTTTGAGGCCGGATTTGCCCACGCTATTGAGAATGTTAGAGACAGTTGCTTAGGGCAGTTGGAACATGTGGAGAGCCTACCGCACATATTTCATAGATTCCATGGTGAAAGCAAGCTAGATATTGATGTGGAGAGCAACGTGAACGATAGAGGAAGGCGATCAGAACAAGCTCTTGAGCGTGTAAGAGGTTGTAAGAGGGTGTGAGTGTTGTGAATGCTGGAGTTAGAGAAGGGATTCTCATCATGGTCTAGCAAGCCCTTTATACTTATCAGTCCAACATAGAGCTCCAAGAGGAAGATAATCGAATACACCAAAAAACCAACCCTCTCGTCGACTTACACGTTCGCTCTCGGCATCACAGCATGGGTGTTGCCCGCATCTCCGGGCCCGGGCACCGGCTCTGGACCCATAAAATAATCCAATTGCATTAGCGCCGTTCCGCTCTTTGTCATGACACGGCGCAGTTACAAGAATCGGAGGAACATGGAGTTAGGGGAGTTGGCTGACTCTCGGCGAGATTTGGTCAGTCACAAACTGATATACCGGAGACACCTTACGACAAGTCATAATGCCTGACTTCGTTAGGCCTGGAAGCCATGATATCGTCGAGCCAGCAATACTAAGGCGAGGCATATCCCCATCCAGGATCACAGACAGTGCCAAGAACGCCAGAGATACGGGATGAGTGGTTGTATTGAACAGGTACGCAAGGCTTGCAAATTCTGCAATACCGACCTCGACATGTGAAGTCAATAAGCTTGGTCGTCTTCTGGCTGACTTGATGAAGCCAGAGACGAACAATAGTGGTGTAATTCCTTCCCCACCATCCTGATAGCGTTCAGTCAACCCTTGACCAATATATTCATAAATATGATTCAGGCACTCTACGAAGCAGGATCGGCGAGTATTACGCAAGAAAATAGACATTTCTGCTAGATAGGTACTATCTGATTTGAAAGTGATGGAAGAGTTACGTATCTGCATGCTTCTATAAGGTAGAACTTGCTGACCGCACCTTCCGTTGCCGATTCCTGTTGGCCCCACACCGAGGATCTCACCTTCCACCGTGCAGTGGGCTGAATCTGCGCTGCGGCGTCTCGAGCTCATCCCCTAGCTTAGCCGTGCCCCGTCCTACCCCAAGTTTCCATCACTCAGCCTCGTCTTCTTCCTCCACCACAAGCATCTTCGTCGTCGCGTTCACCATTTGAACTTATATACCACCGGCGCGATGGCGCAACAGGACGCGCCAAAGCTCCTCTGGAACCCAGACAATGTCAAAGACGTCGCCGAGTCCGTCGGAATTCCCAACCTTAACGACGATGCATTGCGCTGCCTGACGCAAGATGTCGAGTATCGAATCGGACAAGTCCTCGTCGAGGCGCTGCGCTTCATGCGTGCTTCCCGTCGCACCACTTTGACCGTCAACGACATTAGCACTGCGCTCAAGGCTCTCAATATTGAGCCTCTCTACGGATACGACTCGACGCGTCCACTGCGATATGGCGAGGCTAGCTTGGGACCCGGGCAACCGCTCTTTTACCTCGAAGACGAAGAGGTCGACTTTGAGAAGCTCATCAACGCTCCTCTGCCCAAAGTGCCGCGTGATATGAGCTTTACGGGTATGTTACTTCATCTTCTTTAGTTTGTCTCCAATGTATCGTCTGCTAACTGCTGTATTTCCAGCACACTGGCTCGCCATCGAGGGCGTCCAACCCTCCATCCCGCAGAACCCCACCACGGCCGAATCACGAAGTCAAGAACTCGTACCAAAGGGCCAGGGTGCTAACCCTGCTCTGGCTGCCCTCGCCGGCAACGACAATCTCTCCTTCCGTCCCGCCGTGAAGCACGTCGTATCCAAGGAACTCATCCTCTACTTCGAAAAGGTTCAAAACGCCGTCCTTGATGACAATCCCGACGAAGAGGTGGTGCGCCTTCGTCAGGCGGCCCTCGAATCCGTTCGCGACGATCCGGGTCTGCACCAGCTGATCCCTTACTTTATAAACTTCGTCGCGAATCAGGTCACCCATCGTCTCGACGACGTCTTCACACTTCGCCAGGCCATGGAGCTTACGGCCGCCCTCATCGCAAACACCAAGCTCTACCTTGACCCCTACGCCAACTCCATCGCCTCCCCTGTGCTCACGTGCATCCTTAGCCGTAAAATCGGTGCCGAGGATGGTGCGGACGCCATGCGTGAGCAATACCAGCTTAGGGAATTCTCCGCGTCGCTCCTTGGCCAGATTGCGCGCAAGTACGCCGCCTCGAATAATCTGCTACGGCCCAAGTTGGTGCGCACATGCTTGAAGTTCTTCATGGACCCCGATAAGCCGCCCTCGACGCACTTTGGTGCCATCACGGGCGTTGCCTCCGCTGGTGGCCCCGAGGCGGTGCGGGTTTTGGTCCTCAAATGCCTGAGGGCCTACAACGATAACATTCTGCAGCCCCTCAAGGACAAGGGCGAGAGCATCGAGTTTGAGATGCTCGTCGGTGGAATTCTCAAGGCCATTGCTACAATGATTGAGGACGACAGAACAACCGTCAATGGCATAAACGGAAGCGCCAATAGCTATGCTGCTGAACTCAACGAGTTCATCGGACCCATCCTCGGAGAGCGGCTGAATAGTCTAGGCAACCGGAGACTGATCAAACATGTCTTGGATGCTAGGAATATCGAGTAGCAGTCCGGCTAGTGGTGACGATCTTTGGAAGGCGTAACGGCGTTTGGATCAGGCATGGCAAAACATGGTTTTAGGGAGGCATACCACATAAATTGAGACCCTTGGCGTCTGGCAGTTAACCCATGATTTATTCACTGTCCCTCGAATGATGCCTGTGTTTTGTAGTCCGTAAGAGAGGCTGACGATGATGTTAATTTGATCCACTCTGCTGATATCATTCTGTCCTGGCGCGAATCTTGCCCTGGACGTGGACACAAGCTTGATATGCTCTTCCATTTATGATGTCCCCGAGGAAAGAGAGTTTGCAGCCAATACTCAGTGAACGACCACACAGAATGTTTGGAACAATTGATTAACATGCTTGTTACTCAAAGGAATTCGTTTTACAGCTTTCAGTCTATACAATCCCTCTCGCTTTAAGCTTAGGGAGGCCGAACGCCTAGCAATTTCCAGGCGCCAACCAATAAAACTCCAGGTTACCCCCCAAATCTCCCATCACTCTTCGTCTTCCTCTCGTCCCCCTTCAGTCCTTATGACCAGCCGTCGTCTCCTTGCCGCGTCCCTGTACCCGATTACCACGTGCCACCACATCTACTGATCCTTTTGGCGCTCTCTGACCCCCAACTTCCTACTCAATTTACCACGCAAAGGCGAGGCCGACAGCCGCGACGAGCGAGCTGGACCAGATAACCCAGCCCCACTTGACAATCTCAGGCTTGGCGAAGCCGAGAGCAAAATCGTAGGTCAAGTGGCGGATGCCGTTGAAGAAGTGGAAAGTGAAGGGCCAGGCGACAAGGAACTTAAGGCCACCCTTCGCGGCGAGCGGGAGGGCACCGAAAGCAGCGATGAGGGATTGGCTCTCGACGTGCCATCCCAGGAGGGGCGCGACGAGGTAGGTGCCAAAGTAGACGTAGAAGGCGGCTGAGAGACCGCCGCCGGTGATACGGGTCCAAATGGAGGCGCCGAACCAGGTCTGCTCCATCTTGTAGATTGTCAGGTGCGGGGAGATGGGGCGGCTGAGGCGCTGCTTTGCGAGGAGCTCGAGGCCATCTTGGGGGGTGAGCTTGGTGGTTGCGACGGGACTGTGACGATGGTAGATCATGTTAGGATTTGATACTGGTTTATCGAGTGTCTGGGTGTTTGACTCGTTTGTGAGGGAATAGTCGGAAGCAAGTGCTTCAAAAGCAAAGGGAAGACGTGGGAAAGCCAATTGCGTACCGAGACTGGCTCGTCGACATGCTTTGTGAAGCAACGATCTTGGGGATCTGCTGGTTGAAGAAAACGGAGGGCTTCGCTGCCGCTATCGATTGCATCTCTCGTCAGCCTTCCATTGTCCTCTGATCCATTCGGGGCATCGATGATGTAAACGAACCTCGGCGCATGGCCGACACGCCCACCCTTTGCGCAATCATTGTGTCGGTATAAAGCGTGATTACTTGGTGATCGGTACGATTTCGATATCGGGGAGGGCGCGTAGGGAATTCGGCCGCAGGCGGAGGGGATTCGAGTCGTCGGGGGTTTGAGGGTGTTGATGTCAAGCTCCTTGCACCAGAGAAGAATAAATTGGAGACTCTGCACCTTGGATCGCTGGACTCTCCGATTGAAGCGAAGCACGGGAATCCCCTCGGCTTTTCGGCTACCCGTTGACCAATCAGCGCAGACCACTTCCTAAGCTTTCTCGACCACGTGATCTTCGCCGCAAAGGGACAGGAACCTCGCTGGGCGCTGACCGGAAAAAAGCTTAGACGAGAACCTCAGGGTAAGGACGGGACCCACTGGGCCATTATTAGCTAAGCACCACCTCCCGCACAGACCAGCCTGGAAAATTCTCTCGTGGCACACAAAACCGCGTCGACCTTGCGCGTGTTTTCCTCTCTCTTTTCCCTTTTCCTCTCCTCAGATAGCAACGGCCGCCCGCCGCAGCATAACTAATGGTGGCCTTCTCTCCCTTGGGAGAGAATGGTTCACCCATGAAAGGCGCTGCTGGTAAAACCCTTGGGTTGTGGGTGGTTGGAGAGTAATACTGGGATTGGATCCTTCGTTGATCTCGGGTTCTGGTTTGCACCGTCTAGAAACCGTTTCATTTATAGGCATCTACATACTTTTGTCCTTGACGTGATGTATGTTTCTGTGGTCTTGTGAGGGCATGCCGTACGCGCTTGTCTTCCTTAATTGAGTTCAGCGGTGTTGAATTGGTCCTTTTTGGCAGCAGCTTCTGTCCGGGGCTTATTATCGTCGGTTTCCATGAGGTCAATCTACCCGTGTACTGCTGAAGCAGACAAGTGCGCCTGCCTCATGAAGTTAGGAAGGCTTTCGTACCTCCAAGACCAGGCGCTACCGATCTCGATGTCGTTAGAGACATGCTGCAGGTGCTGTTCCGCGTTGCCACCCACCAGAGGGCATGCTGAGCAAAAAGCATGAACCTATCGATCATCAGTCTGGCTACCATATAGTGGTCTCGACATATCTTATTTCGTTGAATGCCTTGCACGTCTACATGCGTTGGAGTAAGCCCAAATTGAGGAGTAATTCTTCAAAGAGGCCAGCTATCATTGGTGATGGCTTCCTTCTTCTTGTCATGGCTTTCCCGACGTCTCAACTTCACGTGAATACTCCCCCATTTCTGATCTCGGTGTAATATGGATGATCATTGACATGTAGGACCGTCGGTCTCGGACTTTTCCCAGGTAGGGGCACTACCAAGTCGTAGTGGCAGTTCCGTCAGCCTCACATCTTTGGCCAGTAGCTTAAGTCAGGAGTTAATAAGAATAAGCTTCGAGGGACGATGGTCTAACTGAGTTTGCGGCCCGCGTTGGCTTAACATGGGCTTTACATCAACCTATATCCAGGCGATATGTAACTGAGCCCCTAGAGTTGTGGCCTGTGCAACTTCCCTTCGCTTGGGGCTTCATTCAATTCTTCCAAGTATTGGATTGTGGTCAATACGCTACACTGAGTGATCGATCGTGTTGACTTGCGGCATGAGTAGAGGTTGTCCTATCGGCAGTGCCGAAGATGGCGCCGCGCAACCGGTAACGCGGACAATAAGGTTTGGGTCTATGGAGATGCCTACGTCTTACATCAATCTCTCATAAAGATCAGGAGTAATGATGAACTGTGCGAAACAGAGCGATCTTCAGGGAATACGATATTTAGCTGTTTTTGGTACCGTGAGCGAGTCAGAGCGACCAGCTGGACCACAGACGCAAAGACTCTGGTGCCGTCAATTGATGGGTTGCGTTACCAGATTTCGGCAACTTACGCCGTGCGGTGGCAGCTGGTGCTCTGCTGTAGGTACAGACCGTTACAGCGGACCCTACAACTGATCCCCCGATCGCTCCTTGTCGATATTTCAATGTTGCGAGAAAGTGCCCACGCATCAGAAGGAAATAGCCCGGTTCACAAGCCTACCGAAGGAAGCTTGTATGACTGAGCATGTTTCGCAACCGGCTTAATTCAGTTAACGTCGGTTTTGGGCTGGGCGACATGTACATTTCTATCAATTGACGAAATAATCTCGAATCATGGTACGGATAGCCCGCACTCTCTGATGAAGCATAATGTTACGTAACAGGGATAGTAATCGCACCTCACGAAGTGCCTGTTACGTACTAAATCACGTATTTATCTTAAATATCGTATATATAGACCTTTTCTTTTTATTTATTTCTATTTTAATAATTAAGCTACTTTTATTATATTCTATATACTTATTATTACGTACTATAACTCGTAATAGTTATAAGCTTAGTTCTTAATTAAGACCTTATATTATAATAACGTATTTATTAATATAATTCTTATGATTTTTTTAAAATAATTAACTTATTTATACTTATTTTAGCCTAAGCTAAATTAACTAGTTACGATAATTAAATTAAATAGTTTAACGTATTTTATATTATAAATAAGAGCGTTAGGGTTTAGAAATACGTTAACCTAAACGCTCTAAACTTTAACGTATTTTTTAACCCCTTTATAGCGCTTATTTTACTTTTTAAATTCGGATAATTAGTTATAACTTATAATAAAAAAAAACTACGAGCTTATTAAGCCCGTTATAAAGTATTTAAAAATAATTAAAAAAACTAAAAAATCCTTTATTAATAATTTCTAAATATAATTCTTAATATAAACTTTTCGACTTTTTTAAATACGAGTAACTTATAGGACTAAGCTAAGTTTCTTTTTATAAAATTAGTTATACTACTTATTTTATATAAATAAATCTATCCCTATATTATACTTATAAAAAGGATTTATATACTCGAGAGTATTTAGAAATAATAAGAGCTTAATACTAAATACGAATAACTTATAGCTTATAAATATAATATTATTAATATATATATTAAAGTCCTCGCTTAGTAATTAATAAAATTAGTTAATATTATACTATATAAATACGTATTTTAAAAAGCTATTAAAAACGGCGCTAAGTTTAGTATAAAGTAAATCGTTAAATATTTAAAATAGGAATTTATACCCCCCGAATTAGTAATAAAAAATACGGTTCGAAAAGAATATTAATAAGTCCTTAATAAAGCGAAGATTAGAATTAACCCTTAATATTAGTATAAAGAGTAGTAATTTACTTATTTCTAAGCTAAAACGTATAATATTTTAAAAATTAGTAAAAAGATTATTATACTTAATTTCTTAGTTATAGTTAAGTCTAGACTTAACTTTATATAAAACTAACGTATATATAAGACCTTTAGTAAATTAATAGCTTTTAAAACGTATATAAGGACCCTTAAAGAAATTACGTATATATTTAGCTTAGTAACTTAGGACGTATATACTAAACGATTTTTAAGTTAAAGAGGGGCTTATTTTACTTTTATTAAACGCTCTAACTTAGTTAATAATATAAATAATAAGGGTAACGTTATATACCCTTATAATTATATATACTTATAGCGCCCTACGGCGTATTAAAAATTAAAATAGGTATTTATAAACTAAAATACTAATAAGTTATTAATACGAATATTAAAGAGCTATATAAAAGAAATCCTCGCTATTATTAAATTAAGTAAATAGAAATTATTTTATAATAAGCTTAAGAAAGCTAGTTAGTTAAGGAATAATAGAACCCCTAAGAAACCTAGACTTTTAAAAAGATTCTCTAATTAACTTATAACGAGCTTATTAATAAACTAAGACGAGGGCTACGTAGTTATTATATTTATAAAAAATTAGGATTTAAAAATAAACGTAATCTTTAATACTTCTATAAGTAATACTTACTCTCTTTTTTAAAATACGGTAATAAATAGTTATAGAGTAATATATTTAGTTAATAATAAGAGCTTATTTAAACCTAAAAGTTATGTATTATTAAGTAATAAAAACTATATTAAATTAGGAACTATTATACTATTTATTATTATATATAGTACTTATATTATAAAGGGCGTTTTAAATAGACCTAAGGGAAAGGGAACTTATAATTTAAAGCTCTAGAACGTTACTTATATTAAGGGATTTTATATTAATATAGTTTTAAAAACTTTACTAAATAGAAGCGTACTTTAATACTACGGTTTAGATTATACTTTATAATAAGGAACGCTTTATAAAAGTACTATTAAAAAGTAGCTTATTTAAAAAAATAATCTAATCTTTTTTAAATATAAGCTCCTTTAATCCTATCCTTTTTTTATAAACCTTAAGTATATCTTATAAAGCCTAGTTAGTATTATATTATTAGTTAGTTATAGAAAATTCCGTTACTTATATTAATATACTTATAAGAGGTTTAATAGTACGCTCTTCTAGTACCTTAAAATAAGTTATTTTAGACCTAATATTCTTTATTAATTATTATATAAGACTTAAGGTATATATATTAAACCTTTATTATAAGTTAAATATAAAGTATATATATTATTTAAAGCTAAGATAGTAGTTTTAAGAGGACTATCCTTAAAAAGAACTTTATAATTATAGTACTATATATACTAAGATCTCTTCTATTTTAAACTATTTTTTAGTAAATAATAATATATATTTATAGTTTTTAATAAATATAGTAAGTAGCTTAGGGGGTTCCTTTTAAGGACTAAAATAGAAAAAAAAGTACTTTTCGTACTATAGAGCCTCGAGGTAATAATTCGTTATTAAAAAGGGATTCTAATTTACTTTTTTAAAAATAATAATAAAACCGCCCTCTTAACTATAAACGTTAGACGCGTATATAAAACGTAGTATAGTAAGTTAAAAATCGGAATAGAACTTTTATTTTTATATATAAAAGAACCCGTAAGGAACGCTAAAAGAGTAAGTTAACTCGTAATTATTAAAGCTCGTAAGATATACTTTTTAATAAACCTCCCTACGAATTTATAAGATAAAATAGTACTAGTAGTAATTTTTATTTATAATATTACTCTACGGGAGGCTAATA